TGGCTTCCAAATTTCCTGGCTACAGAGTTGCAACCATTTATTGAAACATCTCAATTGCTATTCCATCGATTTCGGGAACCTTGTTTTTCACCAATGCCTTCAGTGCAGCTTGGACTTTGTCCTTCAGTACCAAGAGTTCTTCATCATACGTTACCTCCAGAAATGGTTGAACATTGATCAGTTGTTTTTGGTACAGGGCCTCTATATATTCCTTCCATCTTCTTTTGATGTTTTCTGGATTGTTCGATATTTTGCCGACAGTATCCCTCAATATTTCAAATTGGGGCTTGAATTTTTTCTTCAGTTCTTTCAGCTTGAGAAGTGCTGTGTGTGCTCTTCCCTTTTATTTTCTAACTCCAGGTCTTTGTACATTTCATTAGAGTGCTTTACTTTGTCTTCTAGAGCTGCCTTTTGAAATCTTTGGTTCAGTTCTTTTACTTCATCATTTCTTCCTTTCACTTGAGCTACTCTATGTTCAAGAGCAAGTTTCATTGCCTCTTCTGACATCCACTTTGATTTTTTCTTTTTAATTTCTTGTCTTTTTAATTACCTCAAGTTTGTTTCATGTATGTTGTCCTTGATGTCATCCTGCACCTCATCTGATCTTCAGTAACTTGTGCTCATTGCATCAAATCTATTCTTGAGATGGTCTCTATATTCATCATCAAGTTGGTACCAACTCATAGTGACCTTACGCCTGATCCTGGTTCAACCTCACAAATGTTGCCACACTTGAGCCCATTGATTTTGCCAATCCATCTCACTGGGGGTCTGGGATATAGTCAAGGATGTATATTAGCTCTCGTGGACTTGTTTAATTATCTTCGGCTTCAAATTGAACTTGCATATGAGTGCTTGATGGTCTGTTTTGCAGTCAGACCGTAGCATTGTTCTAAGTGATGATATTGAGCTTCTCTATTGTTTCTACACAGATATAGTCTATTTGATTTCTATGTATTCTATCTGGTGATGTCTACATGTGTAGTCTAAGCTTATGTTGTTAAAAGATATTTGATCTGGCAAACACCAACACGTGATCTCTGGTATTTTTTCTGTCACCAAGGCCATATTTCCCAACGACTGATCCTTCTTTGTTTCCAACATTCTCATTCCAATCACCAGTAATTATCAATGTATCTTGGTTGCATATTTGATCACTTTCAGACTGCAGAAGCTCATAGAATTTTTCATTTTCTTCTTCTTTGGCATTAGTGGTTGATGTGTACTGGTGATAATCTTAATGAAAGAAGATCATCAAACCCTCCTTCCATGTACCACTGTTGTTGTTAGGTGCCCTCAAGTTGGTCCCGACTCATAGCAACTTTATACACAACAGAACGAAACACTGCCTCGTTCTGAGACATCTTCAAAATCCTTGTTACGCTTGAGACCATTGCTGCTGCTCCTGTGCCAATCCATCTCACTGGGGGTCTTCCTTTTTTTGCCAACCCTCCCTTTTACCATGCATGATATCTTTCTTCAGGGACAGGTTCCTCCGGATAATAAGTCCAAAGTATGAGATACGAAGTCTCGCCATCTAAGGAGCATTCTGGTTTTACTTCTTCCAACACAGATCTGTTTGTTCTTCTAGCAGTCCATGGTACCTTTAATATTCTTCTCCAACACCGTAATTCAAATGAATCAATTCTTCTACAGTCTTCCTTACTCATTGTCCAACTTTCGCATGCATATGAGGTTATTGAAAATACCATGGTGCATCTTAGTCCTTAAACTGACATCTTTGATCTTGAGCATTTTGAAGAGGTCTTGTGTCACAGATTTGCCTAGTGCAATATGTCATTTCAATTTCTCAGCTGCTGTTTCCATGAGTACTGATAGTGGATCCAACAAAAATGAAATCTTTGACAACTTCAATTATTTCTCCAATTATCATGGTATTATTTATTGGTTCAGTGGTAAGGATTTTGTTTTCTTCAAGTTGTTGCATTTTTCATTATGCAACCAAGACCGAAAGCTGTGGTCTTTGATGTTCATCATTAAATATTTTAAGTCCTCTTCGCTTTCAGAAAGCAAGATTGTATCATCTCCATATCGAAGGTTGTTAATGAGTCTTCCTCCAATCCTGATGCTACATTCTTCTTAATATAATCCAGCTTCTCAAATTATTTGCTCAGCATACAGATTGAAAAGTATGGTAAAGGAATATAATCCTAGCACACATCTTTCCTGATTTTAAACCATTCTGTGTCCCCTTATTCTGTTAAACGACTGCCTCTTGGTCCAGGCCCATTCTCTGCAATGTTGTCCATTACTTTATCATGATCTGCACAGTCAAAAGACTTTGCATAGATAATAAAGCACAGGCAAACATCTTTCTGGTATTCTCTGCTTTCAGCCAAGATCCATCTGATGTCAACAATTACATCCCTCATTCCAAGTCCTTGTCTGAGTCCAGGCTCTACCTCTGAGAGTTCCCAATCAATATACCATTGCAACAGTTTTGGGATTATCTTGAGCAAAATTCTACTTGCATGTGACATCAATGATATTGTCTGATGATTTCTGCTTTCCGCTGGGTTACTTCTCTTTGAATGGGCACAAATATGGATCTCTTCCAGTCAGTTGGCCAGGTAACTGTCTTCAAATTTCATGGTATAGATGAATGAGTGCCTCCAGTGCTGCATCAGTTTGTTGAAAGATTTCCATTTGTATTCCATCCATTCCTGGGGCCTTATTCTTTACCAATTCCTTCAGTGCAGTGTGGACTTCTTTCTTCAGCACCACTGGCTCTTGATCATACATTACCTCTTCAAATGGCTGTACAGCAACTATTTCTTTTTGATACAGTGACTCTGTGTATTCCTTCGATCTTCTTTTGACTGCTTCTGAGTTACTCAATAGTGCAAGTCGAGGCTGAAATTGTTCTTCAGTTCCCTCAGCCCAACAAATCCTGAGACTGATCTTCCCTTTGGGTTTTCTAACTCCAGTCTTTGCACATTTCATTATCATACTTGACTTCATCTTGGCGAGCTGCCCTTTGAAATTTTCTGTTCAGTTTTTTTTACTTTCTCATTTCTTCCATTTGCTTTAGCATCTCTCCACTGGAGAGCAAGTTTCAGTGTCTCTTCTGATATCTATTTTGGTCTTTTCCTTCTTTCTTGTCTTCTTAATGACTTTGGCTTTCTTCCTGTCATCCCACAACTCTCTGGTTTTCGGTCATTAGTGTCTAATGCATCAAGTCTGTTCTCGAGATGATCTCTACATTCAGGTGGAATATGTTCAAGGTCATATTTTAACTCTCATGTACTTGTTTTAATTTTCTTCAGCTTCAGTCTGAACTTGCATATGAGTAATTGATTTTCTGGTCCAGAGTCTGCCCCTGGCCTGTTTTGACTGATAATACGGAGTTTTCCACCATCTCTTCTCACAGATAGAGTCAATTTGATTTCTGAGTAATCCATCTGTTAAGGTATATGTGTACAGTTGTCTTTTATATTGTTTTAAAAGTCAGTTTGCAATGAAGAAGTCATTGGTCTCACAAAATTCTATCATGCAATCTCCAGCATCGGTTCTATCCTTCCTCTTTGTTTCCAACATTCTCATTCCACTCACCAGTAATTATTAATACAGCTTGATTGCATGTTTGGTCAATTTCAGACCAAAGTGGTTGGTAGAATTCTTCAATTTCATCCTCACTGTCTTTAGTGGTTGGTGCATAAATCTGAATAATAGTGACATTCACTGATTTCCTTGTAGGTATATGGATATTATCCTATCACAGACAGCATTATACTTCAAGCTAGGCTTTGAAATATTCTTTTTGATGATGCATGCAATGCCATTCCTCTTCAATTGTCATTGCCAGCATAGTAAACCATAAGACTGTCAGATCCAAAATGGCCAGTACCAGTCTATTTCAGTTCACTGGCACTGTGGGTTAGTGTGGTGCACCACAAAGTCAGTTTGAACTGCAAGGTTGGCAGTTCAAGCTCACCAGTCACTCCTCAGAAACCCTATATAGGGTTGGTATGGGTCAGAACCGACTTGACAGCACTTAACAACAACAACAACAATACCTAGAATGTCGATCCTTATGAGTCCCATTTAATTTCTAACAACTTGCACTATTCCTAGATCCATGCTGTGTATATTCCATGTTCCAATTATTCATGGATGTTTACAACTGTTTCGCCTCATTTTGAGTCATGCCTCATCAGCAAATGAAGGTCCCAAAAGGTTTACTCCACTCAGGTTATCACAGTCAACTCTATTTTGAGGAGGCAGCTCTTCCCCAGGCATGTTTTGAGTCCCTTCCAACCTGAGGGGCTCATCTCCTGGCACTCTATCTAACTATACAGTCTGGTGCTCTTCATCATGTTTCAGTATTCAGTATTCTGGTGCTGACAGTGTTCCACTGTTATTTACAAGGGTTTCAGCGGCTAAACTATTCAGAAGTAGTCCAGCTCTTCTTCTTTCTAGTCTGTCTTCATCTGGAAGTTCAGTTGAAACCTGTCCACTATGGGTGACCCTGCTGGGATTTCAAATACAGGTTGCCTACCTTCCAGCATCACAGCAACCTGCAAGCCACCACAGTACAACAAACTGACAGATGAGTGGTGAAGAACATTTCCGTTCGTGGTTGAATTCATTTATAGCACCTTGGGACATTTGTGGGGGATGGGTTGGCAATAGCAATGTCAAGGGTAGAAGTGGAAGGTCCATCCTTGGACACATGAGGCAGGGGAAGGAGGCAAGAAGGGAATGGCAGAAACACAGACAAGCTTGGTGGTGCCGAGGGAAAAGGCTGAGGACAAGCATGGATGTGTGTGCTTTGTAAACCATAGACAGGCCACACATGTTTGAAGGATGCTATCATTGCACAACCAAGGGTCAGAATTCAGAGAGCCCCAGACAGACACAGGAACCCTGACCAGACTGAAGGGGAACAGGGCACTTGGAAAGCAGGGTGCCAAACTCAGGGGCACCAAGGGCAGCTGCCAGAAGAGTGAGCAGGCTGGCCCCTCGTTTCTCTTGTACAGTGGGACTTGGTGTGTGACTCCTACAAACTGAAGGAGTTGGCCCAGTCTAGCTTCATGGCCGGAGTGCTGATTGGTGGGCTCGTGTTTGGAAACCTATCTGACAGGTAAGATGGTGGGGCCTTGGAAGGGGAGTCACTTACTCCACCCAGGCAGGCACTCTCAGAGCAAAGCTCTGGTGGAGGGGGGTGACCGGAGGTCCTCTCTTGATGGTCTTGGGCATATCCTGTTGGGTGTTCACTGGCTGTCTGGGCCACAGCTTTCTCTCTCCCCTTGGGTCCTGACACCTCAAATCTTCCAGCAGTGGGGGGTAGGGCACTCCTTTAACCCCTGCTTAGGCTTTGAAGCTGGGAAGGTCACTCATTAACTCAAGCCTCTAATTGCAAACTTGTTGAAAAATAGCAATTACCAGCAAGGCTGTGTAGGAGAGGAAGCAATCACTAGCCAGGGGAGGGAGCTCTGTGCCCCCTGGCCCCGTGGGAGCTGGGGAGCCCAGCCCTTCACCCTGGGATCTGCAGAGTCACTTGCCTTGGCAGCTAGCAGTTAACAGAGCCCCACCTCTCCTTTGTGCTCCAGGTTTGGCCGTAAAATAATCCTGTCCTGGAGCTACCTGCTGTTGGCCGCCAGCGGCTGCTGTACCGCCTTCAGCCCCACCTTCCTCACCTACCTGATCTTACGCTTCCTGTCCGGCAGCAGCATCTCAGGCATTATCCTGAGCTCGGTGATCCTGGGTGAGTGTCCTGGAGGATGGGGAGATTGGAGAGGACCAGCCAAAAGCTAAGAGAGAGCGGTCCTAGGCCTGAGCCAACCATGGGCTCCCTGAAAGCTTGGTTAAGGTATTGGGCCTCTCAGAGCCTCAGAGAGGCTAGGAATCCCAGCAAGCATAGGGATTACTGTTCGTAATGGTTACAAGTAGGGCTGCGAACCGCAAGGTCAGCAGTTCGAAACTACCAGCCGCTCCGTGGGAGAAAGATGAGGCTTTCTGCTCCCGTAAAGATTTACAGCCTCGGAAACCCTGTACAGGGTCGCTATGGGTCGGAACCGACTCCACAGCACATAACAACAACAAGTCACTTCTGACTCATGACGACTCACGTTTAGGATTTTCATGACTGTGGCCCTTTGGAAGCAGATCTCCAGGTGCATCGGGGTGGATTTGAACTGCCAAGTTGTCAGATAGTGGTCAAGTGCTTAACTGTGTGTTTCATTCAGGGACCCCTCCTAAATATATTAATAACAATCATCAATACAGAGGACCTACTGTGTGCCTGGCACCCCACTACACACGTGTTCTGATTCAGTCCACGCACACAGAGCTGACACTACACTCCTCATTGTGGTGTTGTTAATTGCCACCTAGTCTGTCCCTACTCATAGCAAACCTGCATAGGGTTCCCGAGCAGTGGTGTGTGGGTTTGAACAGTCAACTTTACAATTAGCAGTCCAGTGCTTATCTTACAGTGCCACACCAGGACTCCAAACCCCATTTTACAGATAAAGAAACTGAGGTACAACCAAGGGAATTCACTTACCACTGGAGAGGCAGTGATCAAGTACATGCGCTTAGCAGGCAGACAAATCTAGTTTTAGCCTATATTCCAGTACCTATAAAATAGGGGTGAAGATCAGATTGAGTAGCCATTTCGAGGCAGGAGGGAAATGCCTGGGTTCCAGCCAAACTCTAATCTAGCCCGTGGGCTCCTCCCTGCAGTTGTTGAGTGGGTGCCCACCCAGCTCCGGGCCATCCTGTCTACGTACGTTGGCTACTGCTACACCATTGGCCAGTTCATCCTGCCTGGACTGGCCTACATCATACCTCAGTGGCGCTGGCTACAGTTCACGGTGTCCGTTCCCTTCTTCATTGCCTTCCTGTGGTCCTGGTATGTGGCTCCCTTAGGTAGACACCTGCTTCCTTAGGTCCACCGAGGCCAAGCAGGGGAAGCCCTTGCCTGCCCAGGCTGGCCAGCTCTGTCTGTCTGTGGGCACCCCTGTCCCAGGTTGGGAGAAGGGCACTCAGAGAGGAAGACTTATATAAGCAAAGGCAGACTGCTGGTGGGAGTAGATGCCCACGGGACGCTGAGAGGCTACTGTACCTGAAGAGGGGAATACACCTAGTGGAACAGGAAGGAACCAGGGGGACATCCTGACCCAAGTGAACATGATGAGGGACAGGAACAAGAAGCAGAAAAGAGGTGACAGGCAGGCAAGAGAAGCCTGGGGACAAATCTGAAAGGCCTTTGGAGGAAGAATCCACAGAAATTGGGAGCTTCCTAAATTCGAGGTAGAAAGGAACGTTTCTGGAAGAGCCCCAGCCTGGATACCTGGGGGGATCAAGGCACCAGAGTGGGACAGGAGCACATTTGATGCACAAGGTAAGTTCCATTATGTACGTGTTGAACCTGAAGACGTACAAAGAACAGGAGGTAGGTAGAAGGGGTTGGAACCAAAAGACAGGAGATAATGGAGTGCAGAGAAAGAACCAAAGTCTTAAACCCACCCCTTTTTGGAACTTGAAAAAGTTCATGTGAACATGGAATTAAAAGATAATGAAATTTCCCCGACTAACTCCTCATCTATGCAAGGCCCCATTCTGGGCATATTGACCTACATTGTCTCAGAGTCACATGATGTCTCTAAGTGAAAGATACATTATTGTTCCCATTTTACAGATGAGGAACCTGAGGCTCCGAGCAGTGCAGCAATTTCCCAAAGCTATACAAAAAGAAGCAGAGCTGGAGTGGAGTGTCAGCTTGGAAGTGGGAGCAGGAACTCAGATATTGCCATCAAATCCAGTCCAGCTCAGAGCGACACCAGATGTGCAGAGTAGAACTGCTTCTGCTTCGTAAGGTCGCCAAGGCTGTGACCGTTCAGAAGCAAATCACCAGGCCTGTCTTCTGAGCCGCCTCTGGGCGGGTCAAACAGCCAACCTTTGAGCAAACAGTCAAGTGCTTGACCATTTTCATCACCCAGAGAATGAGAATAGAAGCTTCTTTTAAAGGGTGTGGGCAACGTGCAGGCGAGCAAGTGAGAGAGCTCCACAGAGGGCAGGACGTAAAGCAGGACCTGTCCACAAACTGAGCTGGAGCACAGAAGGGGCAGCCAGACAGCCGGGAGGGGTACGTGAGAGCTTGGGCCCCTTCACTGTGTGTCTTCAGATAAGTCTCAGTCACTTTGAGCTTCAAGATTTTTCTGGGTAAAGTGGAGATAAGAATGCTGGTCATCAGAAGTTTGTGTGTCTGCCTGGTACACTGATTAGAAGTCACTGCTGCTATTGTCTGGGGTGCAGGAGGCAATCCAGACCTTGGGTGAGGGTTTAGGAAGAAGTCATTGATATTCTTGTTGAGAAGATGGTCAGGGCAGAAACAGAGACCACAAAGTTCCGAGGCGTCTTAGCAAGGGACCCAGAAAGCTTCTATCTACTATCATCTGGGGCAGTGGTCTGAGGTTGGGTGTCCTCAAGGGCCTCACTTGGAACCATGTCCTAAGTGCTTACAGGGGCTACAAACTAGAGCTGATCCCTCCCACCTTGGATCAGACCCTTCCAACGCCATCCCCTTCTCCCCACTCCTCTGCCTTCTCCATCCCTCTTTTCCCAGCGACTCTCAGGAACAGAAGAGCAGAGGGAAGGAGGGGATGGAGTCATTGCCCTCTAGCACAAGATGACCTGACACACAGCCCTCTGCCCCCACCCCCAAGCCCCTTTCCCGGGACAGCAGGTCTGTTCCTTTTTCACCAGAGAGTCTTGGGATGTGGCCTAAGGAAGATAAGAGACATGCTGTCCCCTCCTCACACCCCACCTGCCTTGACTTAGGGCCTGGGGGTCCTAGCTAAGGAAGTTGCCCAAAGATAACAAGCTACCCAGGTGGGAGGCTGAGGGAGAGCGTTTCTAAAAGAGGAAGAAGAGACTGCTGGAATTTCTGCTGGCTGCAGGCAGCCCAGGTGCAAATTTTGGCCGAGTTTAATTCCATGAAATCTGCAGGAAGGCAGCTCAGATTTCTGGGCCTCCAACCCCTTTGCCCTGGCTGTTGGCTTTCTCCCAGCTTCTCAGAGGGGGTTCTGGGTAGTTGGGGGAGGGGGCACAGTGACTTGATTCTGGGCCCCCAGGTGGATAGCAGAATCTGTACGCTGGATGGTCCTGTCCGGAAGGTCATCCAAAGTCCTGAAGATACTCCGCCGCATGGCTGCTTTCAACGGCAAAAAGGAGGAAGGAGAAAAGCTCAGCTTAGAGGTAAGGGTCTCAAGAGATTGTAGTCTGGAAGTTGGGACCCCTGGGCTCTGCTCTTGGGCGTCCCCTCTGCTTGCCTCCAGTTTCCTCTGCTCCCAAGTCTGCATCATATTGGGCCCCCTTATGCAAGTGCCTCAGGAGGTCTCAGGCATGCACCTGCCCTCCAGCTGGTCGTAAATGGCACCCCTCCCCTCTCCTCTTCCCCAAGGAGCTCAAACTCAACCTGCAGACAGAGATCTCCTTGGCCAAGGCCAAGTACAGCGTAGTTGACTTGCTCCGGACACCTGTCATACGCCGCATAACCTTCTGTCTTGCCTTGGCCTGGTAAGCCATCACCTCTCCCTGTCCCCACCCAAGGGTGGAGTGATGGCCCATGACCAAGGGCATCTACAAGTGGAATCAAGTACCCCCTCCCCTGGGCCACCCTGTCCCCCAAATCTTCTGCATCCATGCCCCACACCCAGGCCCAGCCACTAGGGTCTGCTTCCCTCTGGGTTCACATCCACCCCACCCACAAGGCAAACGCTTCCAACTCCCAGCCCCTTCACCAGTTCACACCCCAGCCACAGAAGTTTCTGGATGCTGAGCCTCTAGTCACTGCCTTACGCTGGTCCAAGTCTGCCCTTTGGGACCCCACAGAGCACAGCCACCCTCAAGATTTCAGATCTGAAAATGAAACTTCTGTTTCTCCTGAGTCTTCTCTTCCATCCCTTTTATTGACCTGATGCAAGACCCTTTTTCATCCTGGCCACCCCCCTATGAGCAGGATGAAATCTGTGGCCCAGGGACCCTTCAAAAGAGATCCCAAAATTCTGAGATGGTAGCAGCAGGACATCTGGCCTATGCAGACAGTTTAACGTCCACCTCTCCCACACTGAACATTACGCTCCTTCTCAGGCAACACCTACCCCAAGGAGGATCATTTACTGCCTCCTTTGGGTTTCTGCCAGTCCCTGGGTGGTACAAAGACCACGGAAGAAAAGCCTGGTGAACTGCTTCCGTAAAGAAGCCAGCCAAGAAAACCCTCCAGAGCAGTTTGACTCCATAACACACGGGCTTACAATGAGTCAGAATCAACTTGATGACATCAAGATCCTCCGAGATCCCTCACTGTCCCACTATTCTCTGGGGTCAACTGTGTGGCCTCTATGCTGCCACACCCCAGTTCTGGGCCCATCTCTGACGTAGCCCATCAATCACTCTCCCGCTGAGCTCCTGCCAGTTAGTGGTACCTGGCACAAGAAGTAAAACTTCATGTCATCCTTGTGACTCTGTGGCCAGTACAGGGAGAGGCCCCAACTTGACTGCGATGCTGACCAGTTCCTCTCTGTTCCTCAGGTTTTCCACTGGTTTTGCCTACTACAGTTTGGCCATGAGTGTGGAAGACTTTGGGGTCAACATCTATATTCTCCAGATCATCTTTGGGGGCATTGACATCCCAGCCAAGTTCATCACTATCCTCTCCATGAGCTACATGGGCCGGCACACCACGGAGGCTGCTTCTCTGCTCCTGGCAGGAGGGGCCATCTTGGCTCTCATCTTTGTGCCCTCGGGTGAGAGGCTGGGCTACCCCAGAGCCCGCAGAGGAGGAGGGCCCACGCAGGCCAACATGATCATGGGCATCACAGGCTGCCACAGAATGTGGTTCTGCCTTTCCTCCACTGTTGCGTTGAACTCTCTGGGCCTCAGGCCTTTCATCTAGAAAAGAACTCAGTCGGGCTTGAGGCTAAAGCTCCTCTCCTGGTCTGCCTTGGACTGGGCAATGTATGGTGGTATCTGGAATGTGAGGAATTGTTTGGGGACTGGGTGTGTTTGTTTGATGTCACTGCAGAGGACAAGTGGAGCTGAGGAGAAAACTGAAACCCTACAACTTAACTCCATCAAGACCTGGGAAAAGTCTTTTATATAGTCATTGGTTTGTTGATATACCTGTCTCCTTCTAAAGAGATTTGAAGTATCTTAGGACAGGAGCATACATCAAAATATAACCGAGACTAAGAAACCGGAGCTAGGGGAAAACACAAACACAGCATTAGAAATAGTAGTGTAACTATTACTCAGCTCTAAGTTTGGAGCTGAGCTTCCTGGCAGCCAAAACAAAGAGGGAAATAAGACCAGTTACAGAATTCTTGTTATCAAAGCCAAGCTTTTCCTAGTACTGAAATTTCACAAAAGTCTCTCCTGAGAGACAATATGAGGGTAAAGCTGACCTGATGCCCTTGGCAAGTCAGTACCATCGCTTGTATGCCCTTCCAGGACCATGAGGAGGATCACCTAGGCTGGTGCATCTAGCAAGGCTTGGTCCACAGCAGGTTGACTGGGAAGGTCTGCCAAGTAATGAAAGCAATCCAGTGCTTCTAAAACCCATGTGTTTTCTTCCCTCTGCAGACCTGCAGACCCTGAGGACAGTGCTGGCCGTGTTTGGGAAGGGGTGTCTGTCTAGCTCTTTCAGCTGCCTCTTTCTCTACACAAGCGAGCTGTATCCCACCGTTATTCGGTAGGTGCTAAAGCTGGGCCCAACCAGAGGACACAGGGTCAGTAGGACTGTGGCTTCCTCCTGCCCCTTGTCCAGTGTCCCGGTGCCATCCCTTAAGATCCCCATACCCAGGCTGTCAACCCCTGCTCTGAACTCTCCCAGGCAAACAGGCTTGGGCATAAATAACCTGTGGACCCGCATGGGCAGTATGTTGGCTCCAATGGTGAAGACCCTGGCCGAGGTGCAACCCTTCATCCCCAATGTCATCTACGGGGTCTTCGCCCTCGTGGGAGGCAGTGCCGCCCTCTTCCTACCTGAGACCCTCAATCATCCACTGCCGGAGACCATTGAAGACATAGAAAACTGGTCAGTCCCTGTCTGTGGCCCTCACCAGTGCTTCTCTTTGGGGAAGCAGGACTTTGCCTAAGTCCTCACTGTCCCCAGGTTCCAGCAGGCCAAGGAGCCAGAGCGGGAACTGGAAGTGGACAAGATCTCCCAGAGGGTCCCTCTGCAGCCCTGTGATCCTGGCCGGCTCCCCAGCTGAGACCCTTTTCCCTGCCCTTCAGAGACAGATCCCAGCCAGGACCTTGCCACCTCTGGGCAGCTCAGACACCCGGGGTTCGGTAAAAGGGTTTGTGCCTCACCACTCACTATCAGAGCCCCCAGCCCAGCCCTGGTCCGTTTAAGGCTTCTTCCCCAGACCTCCCACACCCACCCTGTCCTCATCCTCCCTACAGCCCAAGCCTTACTGTTCTTCTGTCCAACCCTTCCTGAGTGTCCCAGCCCCCTCCCTTTGAGGGTCCCTGTCCCCCTCAATCAGTCCTGTACACCCAGGACAAAGATAGCTTCCCCCTCTAAGGTCTACCCCTCTCTCCAAGTCAGCTTTGAGGGACAGGAGGTCTCAATAAACAGTGATGAAGAACTCAGCCATGCTGCCCAAGGATAGAGTGGGGAAGGGGACAGGTCACTGTGTGGGTATGCTTTCACATGTGCTTGTGTGTACAAACAAGTGTGGGCACACAGATGAAGGCAAACTGGGCTGATGTGAACATGTGTGTGTGTGTGTGTGTGTGTGTGTGTGCACCAGGACTGTACTGGGAAATAGCATGTGTGTGTTTGCATGTCCCAGCAGGTGATGGGACATACCCAGGGTGGCTCCTCCACACCTGACCGTCCACCCTGCTCGCCCCAGACCTCTGATCCATGCCCTAGCCCCAAGTCCAGCAGACAGCTTATGTCTGCTTTAATTGAGGAAACCATAGTCATGCATGAACACTGTTGACACCATGCCACGGCCCCTGGTTCCCTCTGCTCCTAGCACAAGGGCCAGTCCTCCCGTGGGGCTCCGCATCCATCTCCTCTTGGCAGCATCCAGCGCCTTACCCTGTGGGTCCAATTTCTGCTCTCCTGGTTCCTTCCCATCTTAAAATACAAACACCCTCTCCCTGGCTTCCGTATCTCCCTCCAGGACCACAGTTTCTCTCCCCTTCACAGCCAGATTCATGAAGGAGCTATCTATGTCCCTGTCTCCAAGCTCATCCATCTGCCCACCACTTCCTTCCCTCCACTGAAATTGCTTCCACAGAACCTAATCACCTCCTTGCACTAAATCCATGTCTCCCTTTACATGACCTCTCAGCTGATTTGACCCTACTGGTTCCTGGCCCCTGACATACCCCTGCTGATAGCTCCCTCCACATTATACCCAGTCTTTCTCAGGCCCCTGTTTACAGTTTCCTATAAATGCCACCATGGTCACTTTGCCTGCCCCTTCTCTGAAGATCTGTGTCCCCCAAACCTACTATCTGCACAATTACTGACCTCACCCCTGATTTTATCTGACTGTACCAGGCAGCACTCCTGATCCCAACCAGGTTACACAGATGGTGTCTCCTGGGCTGAGATCTGAGCCAGGAACTTCTAATCCATCTCTTGCTGTAGTCCTGGGAAGGCAAGTTAACATCTGCGTTGGCCCAGAGGAAAACAGAACAGACAAAAGCCAATTGCTGAGAGGGAATAAATTTGATGTACAAAGAAACCCGAACAGGAAGCAGAGTAAAGAGCGTGAGTCTGGATAAGAAGAGCTGCTGAGACCATTTGCATTGATTCTTTTTTTTTTTTTTTAAGTGTTTATTGTGAATCATGTGATAGTTTACAAGGGAGAACATTCACTTTACATTCATCCTATCTTATTTGTTTCATTGCAGTGATTACAATTCCCTGCATGCATCTGCAATGATTCTTAATGGATCCCAGGTCCTGGTTTCTCATCAGTCCTGAATCCACTCTCTGCCCCAGAGCTCAAGTGGTCATTGCTATTGTTAGGTGCCATCAAGTCAGTGCCAACTCAAAGTGACTCTGTGTACAACAGAAGCAACCACTGCCTACTCCTGTACCATCCTCACAACTGTTACACTTGAACATACTGCTGCTGCCGCTGTACCAATCCATTTCAATGGGGGTCTTCCTCTTTTTCACTAATCCTCTAATTTACCAAGCATGATGTCCTTCGCCATAAAAAGGTCCTTCCTGATAATATGTACAATGTATGAGAAACAAAGGCTTCTAAGGAGCATTCTGGCTATACTTCCAACACAGATTGGTTTAGTTCCATTGTTGTTGTTGTTAGGTGCCATCAAGTTGGTACCGACCCATAGC